CCCCCACCCTCACTCCTCACCACGTCTGGACCACTGTTCCTGGGACCCTCCACCCGACAACTCTTGACCCCATACCGATCACCGACCCCCCACCCTGACTCCTGCCAACGCCCTGGCACCCCCACCCTCTGGACTTCTGTTCTTGAGACACTCCACCCAACACTTCCTCGCCTGGAACCGACCCCGACCCCTCACACTGACCCCTTACCACGCCCCGGCACCTCCGCCCTCTGCATGGATCTCAGTTCTTGGGACCCTTCACCAGACAATTCCTCCCCTGGACCCGACCCCGACCCCCCACCGTGACCCGTCGCCACGCCCCGGCACTTCCACGCTCGGGTTCTCTGTTTTTGGTATCCTCCACCCGAGACTTCCTCGCCCAGAACCGACCCCGACCCCCTGCCCTGACCCCTCTCCACGCCCCGGCACCCCGACACATGCGAACGCGGCCTCTGCGGCAGTCGGTGTAGCCCCCTAGGGGGCCACGAAACGTGGGCGGGGCGGGCGAACGCGGACACTGGGGCCTTCGGTGGAGCTCTTGCTGGGGTGACGAAGCGCTGTACTGGGTAGCGCGGGCGCATGCGAACGCGGCCACTGGGGGATTCGCTGGAGCTCTCTATGGGACCACGAAACGTTATGCTTGGTGGGGCGGACGAACGCGGCCACTGGGGCCGTCGCTGGAGTTTTTTTTCCCAACCATCCTGTGGTGTTGGGTCCTCGTTTTGATGAGACGGTCCCCGCGTTCCTCCTCTCCTCCTCGTCACCCTCCTCCCCCTCCTCCCCTCCTTCCTCCCTTGCTCCATGCGTTTCACCCACCCAGCACAACGCTTCGTGGCCCCATATGGAGCTCCACCGAAGGTCCCAGTGGCACCGCCCTCATGCGTCCGCCACCACCCAGCACAGCCCTTGCTCCCTGCGCTTCACCCTCCCAGTACAGCATTTCGTGGCCCCAGAAGGAACTCCAAGGAAGGTCCCATTGGCACCGCCCGCATGCGTCCGCCACCACCCAGCACAGCCCTTGCTCCCTGCGTTTCACCCACCCAGCACAACGTTTCGTGGCCCCACTGGGGGCTCCGCCGAAGGTCCCAGTGGCACCGCCCGCATGCGTCCGCCACCACCCAGCACAGCCCTTGCTCCCTGCGCTTCACCCACCCAGTACAACGTTTCGTGGCCCCATATGGAGCTCCACCGAAGGTTCCAGTGGCACCGCCCGCATGCGTCTGCCACCAACCAGCACAGCCCTTGCTCCCTGCGTTTCACCCACCCAGCACAGCGCTTCGTGGCCCCATAAGGGGGCCCCATGGAAGGTCCCAGTGGCACCGCCCGCATGCGTCCGCCACCACCCAGCACAGCCCTTGCTCCCTGCGTTTCACCCACCCAGTACAGCGTTTCGTGGCCCCACAACGAGCTCCACCGAACGTCCCAGTGGCACCGCCCGCATGCGTCCGCCACCAACCAGCACAGCCCTTGCTCCCTGCGCTTCACCCACCCAGCACAGCGCTTCGTGGCCCCATTAGGAGCTCCACCGAAGGTCCCAGTGGCACCGCCCGCATGCGTCCGCCACCACCCAGCACAGCCCTTGCTCCCTGCGTTTCACACACCCAGTACAACGCTTCGTGGCCCAATTGGGGGCTCCACCGAAGGTCCCAGTGGCACCGCCCGCATGCGTCCGCCACCACCCAGTACAGCCATTGCTCCCTTCGATTCACCCACCCAGTACAGCGTTCCGTGGCCCCATAAGGAGCTCCACCGAAGGTCCCAGTGGCACCGCCCGCATGCGTCCGCCACCACCAGGCACAGCCCTTGCTCTCTGCGTCTCATCCACCCAGTACAGCGCTTCGTGGCCCCATAAGGGGGCTCCACCGAAGGTCCCAGTGGCACCGCCCGCATGCGTCCGCCACCACCCAGCACAGCCTTTGCTCCCTGCGTTTCGCCCACCCAGTACAGCACTCCGTGGCCCCATAGGGAGCGCCACCGAAGAAGATATTCACACTTGCGGTACCCGCAACTGCATATGGTTGGGTTTTCGCCAGGCTATTGTTGGTTATCCTAACCATCCGGTGGTGTTGGTTCCCCCTTTCGACGAGACAGCGCCCCGCGTCTCCTCCTCTCCTCTCCACCTTCCTCCTCCTCCGCACTCCTCCTCCCGTCACCCCTCACCACTTTGGCACACCCCTCACACGCTTCACGGCCCCATAAGGAGCTACTCATAAGGCCCCAGTGATTGCGCCCGCATGCCACCACCCCCTCACTTTGACGCACTCCTCACACGCTTCACGGCCCCATAGGGAGCTACACCTGAGCCCCAGTGGTTGCGCCCGCATGCCGCCACCCCCTGACTTTGGGACACCCTTCACACGCTTCGTGGCCCCATAGGGAGCTACTGCTAAGGCCCCAGTGGTTGCGCCCGCATGCCGCCACCCCCGCACGTTGGCACACCCCTCACACGTTTCGTGGCCCACGTGGGAGCTCCACCCAAGGCACCAGTGGCTGCTCTCGCATGCCGCCACCCCCTTCACTGTGGCACACCCCTCACATGTTTCGTGGCCCCACAGGGAGCTATACCTAAGAACCTAGTGGCTGTGTTCGCATGCCGCCACCCCCTCACTTTGGCACGCCCCTCACACGCTTCGTGGCCCCACAGGGAGCTCCACCCAAGGCCCCAATGGCTGCGCCCGCATGCCGCCACCCCCTGACTTTGGGACATCCCCCAACTCTCTTCAAACATTTCGCGGCTCCGTCAGGAGCTCCACCGATGGCGTGCCTTACACTGGCGGTACTCACAACTGCATATGGTTGGGTCTTTCGCCTGGATCAGTCTGCAGTTGTCTCTCCTTTCTCTGGCCAGATCCCGCGTCTAAGCGCCAAAATGTCCAAGACGGTAGTGTAGGGCAGCTCCATAGGTGCGGGAACGCTACACGCGTTCTCCACCAGGAGCTAACACGTGATCGGGTGCGAAGCTGGGCGAAACTTAATTGCATGACGCATTGAATTGCGAGGGGGGGCTACTGACAAAGGCAGCCAGCACAGCCAGCCTGCCTCTGCTGTGCGGCGCTCATTATCAAAACGTGAGAACCTCTGTCTGCAACGCTGGTGCAAGAAGAAACGCCTCGCGAGAAGGGGAAAACATAGGCCCAGGCAAAGGACAACAGGAGGGTGAGGAGGGGAAAGGATACTCTGCAGCAGCTGGTCAGTGTGCTTCAACACCTGCCGTCGATTAGTTACAGCTCTCCATGCTCTGCGATTGAAAAGTGATGCGGCGTGAGTGTCCCTGCTCGAAGGAGAAATGTGCTTTAATACCTGTTTTCTATTACAGCTCGACGGATTCTGCCAGTGAGCTCTGCAAGGCGATGCGGCGTAACCACCCTGTTCGGGTATTCTCAGTGTGCTTCGAAACCTGCGGACGGTTACCCCCGTTGGGGTCTGCGAAGCTCTGAGGTACAAAAGCCACTGCAGCAGCAGTCGCAGTGACGGTCACCTGTGACACACTCGTCAAATTACAATCACCAGCCAGCAGCTGCCAACGAAGGCTAATTCTTGCAGCTTTCAGGCCTACAGTTGTGCCCATGCACTATTAAGTTGCGTGGCGGGAGAGCTGCTGCGGGCGCGGTGGACGTGTTCCACTCGGCAGGCAACGCGAAAAAGACACAGCAGCGCGCGATAGCAACAAAACCCTGGTTTCCTTTAAAGCCGGAAAGGTGGATGGGGGGAGGGGGGGAGGGGGGGGAGGGGGCGAGAAGCTAGGTGCGCTCGCGTCACATCTAACGTCCTACCCCTCCCTCCCATCCCTTACCATGGCTCAGATTCCCTTTCTATTCGCACAGTCGGATGTCGTAGGAGGGCATAGCATTACATGGCATAGCATGGTGTTGAAGATCAACGCGTAGCCTGACATAGAATGGCGTGGCGACGCCCCAAAGTGGGGGGGTGCTTCTGCGGCCCCCAAAAAAACAACGAATCGACACCGAATGCGTAATCACTTCCGATGGTTGTTTCGGGGGGGGGGGGGGGGGGGCACTTCCTAAATTTTAAAGCCCATTTGAAAGGACCGAAAACCATGCCGTGGCATGGCGCTGGAAATAATGACGTCAGCGCTGCAGCGGGACCACGATTCGTAACGGGCGGAAGCGCGGAAATGAAGCCAGTGCTGCAGGGGGAGTACGATTCAGAATGAGCGGAAGCGCGGAAATGAAGCCAGCGCTGCAGCGGGAGCACGATTCGGAACGAGCGGAAGCCCGAAAATGAGGCCAGCGCCTCAGTGAGAGCAGCATTACGAAAAAAAACACGAGCGAAAACCCAACTCGCCGACATCCTGTGTGGAAATAGCAACAGGCGAGGGGGGGCCGAACACTCCAAGACAGATTCCGCCACGGACTCGGGGGAGAGAGGAGAGCAGTATTCACAGGGTGTGACTGTGGGAGGCCAGGGAGCCGAGAAGGGAATGGCGCAGAACTGCGAGCGCCATCCCAAACAGGCACTCCACACGTGGCACCCGCACTCACGAGGCGGGGCGGTGGACTGGCCTCCACTGGCGTCTTGTACGTGCCGTGGCCGAGCGTGCGCCCCTGCCGAGCGCAGGAGCGCGGAGGGCGGACGAAGAGAGCGAGGGCGCCACGAGGACGGGTGCCGGCACGGTGGGCGTGTTCCACTCGGCGCACAGCAGCGCCATGCAGGGAGCTGTCTCCCCAGCTCTGCACGTCCTCGCTGGGTCCGTCCTGGGGCCATGCGGGCCTGCGCGGGGCCGTTCCTGGGGCCCGTTCTGGGGCCGTTCTCGGGACGTTCTGAGAGGAGGAGGAGGAGGAGGAGGAGGAGGAGGAGGAGGAAAAGGAGGAGGAGGAGGTAGTCGAGATGTTCCCGAGACAACTCTTAGGATGCAAGTACACACTGTGCGGGGTCCGAGCTGCTCTCCTCATGAGGGCTCGGAGCGCGTCCTTCCCTGCGTTCCCCCTCTCCCCCCCTCGCCGCGCTATCTTGTCGTACCGTCCCTTCGTCTGTCTTTTTACTCCCACCTCTGCCAGAGGGCTCCGCTTGCGCTGGTAAAAACTGCGTGGTCCAAGCTGGCAGCCATGATGTGCGTGGCCAATCGAACTTGGAGAAGCGGCGACAGAGACGATAAACGAACCGCCTTCAGGCGCGCACTAAAAGTTTTGGACATATAATCCAGGAGCGAGCCCGCTGCCGCGAGCCATGGGCCATGACAAATGGTCACGTTCGCCCGCCGCTTACAGGTCGGTTTCCGTGAGCCTCGTGGCATGAGCACGCCATGTAATTGCTGTGCTAGTCTTCGGGAGCGGGCAAATCGACACCCAGAGCCGACGAGAGAGCCAATACAATGGCGCCAGTCCGCCGAAAGTGAAGCGCCGCACGTTGATGAAGCCGATGGGGCAGCAGCAACAGGCAGACAGACCAAAAACATCAACTAAAATGTGCAGTCGGTAAAAATCCGCGGCACGGCCCCGCGAGGCGGCAGAAGTTACACCGCCTGGAACCCATGAGGTGGCCTGTGTCGCCCCGTCTGCTGCCCACGGCACTGCACCTTAGGACGGGGACGTGCCACACCGCTGGCAACGACGGTCGCGGTGCGCGCAGCCTACGCCCCCCCCACCCTGGCAGCACCCGCCGTCCAGCTGCCGACATTGGCGGCGGCACCCGGACCCTCTAGGCCTCGCACCCTGGCCCACGCGTCGGCGGCCATGGCGGCGGAGGTCGCTGAGCCCCTGGGCGCCGCCTTCCCGCCGCCGCCGCCGCGGCCGCCGCCCGCGCGCCGCGGGCTCGCCACGGTCAGGCCCGGGAACAGCAGCGACTCCGTCGCGGGGCAGCGCTCCTGCGGGTGCCAGGCGGCCAGGCCCTTGAGGACGTGCCCCGGGAAGCGCTGGAGGGCCGGCGCCCCCAGGCCGGGGCCTCGCTGCTGAGGCGCCGAGCGCACCACCTCCTTGCGCGGCGGGTGGTCCTGGCAGCACGGTTCCGCCTCCGGTTTGCTGGTACGGCCGCGGCCTGCGGCCACCGCGGCGAGGTCCAGGGCAGGGACCCGAGGCGCGCAGGGCACCAGCCCCGGCGCCAGCACGGAGCCCGCCACGGCGGCGGCGAGAGGATCCATGGCGCGCGCAAGGAGGGCCCCCGGGCCACGACGGCCTGAGCCTTGAGACAAAAATGGCGATGGCTTCGGCTTCGGTGGAGCTCTTTTTGGGGCCACGAACGCTGTACTGGGTGGCGCGGACGCACGCGAACGCGGCCTGTGGGGCCTTCGGTGGAGTTCCCCACGTATGGAGCCACGAAGCGCTGTACTGGGCGGCGCGGACGCATGCGAACGCGGCCATCGGGGCCTTCGGTGGAGCTCCCTGTGGGGTCACTAAGCGCTATACTGCGCGGCGCGGACGCATGCGAACGAGGCCACTGGGGCCTTCGGTGGAGCTTCTCTGGGGTGGCGAAGCGTTGTACTGCGTGGGGCAGACGCATGCGACAGCGGCCAGTGGGGCCTTCGGTAGAGCTCCCTATGGGACCACGAAGCGCTGCACTGGGCGGCGCGGACGCATGCGAACGCGGCCTCTGGGGCTTTCGGTGAGCTCCCGATGGGGTGACGAAGCGCTGTACTGTGTGGGGCGGACGCATGAGAAAGCGGCCAGTGGGGCCTTCGCTGGAGCTCCCTATGGGGCCAGGAAACGCTGCACTGGGTGTCGCGGACGCATAAAACGAGGGCCCAACGCTACAGGATGGTTGGAAATTCGCCGGCCCAACGGGCCAGGGGCATGCTAAAATCTCCGGCTATTTGCAATTTCTAGTTCGCGCGCGCGTGGCGGCCCCTGGGAGTCCCGGAACGAAAAGCACCCCAGCCGAAACCCGGGAGACTCCCAGCAAGGTTCCCGCAGGGTCCCCCAGAGCGCCCCAGACGCCCTCCAGACGGTCTAAGAGGCCCCGCGTCGCCGAAAGATCGCTCCAAGACGCCCAAGATGGCCTCCTGACAGCCCCAGAGGCCGCCAAGAAGCGCCAAGAGCCTCAAGAGGCCCTCCAAGAGGGCCCCAAGAAGCGCAACATTCCCTCAAGAACACGTATTCTTCTTCGCATTAACGACTTTGATGTTTCAAAACGCTCAGAACTGCCCAGGAGGCCCTCAAAATCGCCCCAACACGACCCAACATGCCTCCAAGATGAGCCCAAGACGACCCCGAGCGCTGAAAGACAGCCCCAAAGGCCCTTCAAGACGGCTCTGGAGCTTTCCAGAAGACCCCAAGAGCGGTACTCCGAGCTGCCATGTCCGGCCCTTTCCCGCGAGATAATTCACGAGACCGCCAGCAGGGCCCCAAGAATCTCTCAAAAGCCCCAAAATACTGTCCCAAAAAGCCCCTCAGAGGCTCCCAAGAGGTCTCCCAAGAAACCCCACGACGTCTCCCAGCTTGTCGACGACAAAATTCGTCTGAAGAGTTCACCAAGAAACCATCCGCAGGCCTCCTCCTTCTCCTCAGCGTCCGCTTATGCGACAATATGGGCCGGCGGAATGCGCGAAGCGATCCGCCGCCCCACTGGGTATGGCGTGTGTCATCCCCGCCGCATGGTCTGCACGAATTCTTTCCCCTCAGTCCCTTGCCCACGCGGTTCTCGTACCCATACCCTTCCTCAGAGCCCTGGCAACCCCTCCTGGGGTCCTCGCCGCGGCCTGCTCATTCGGCCGGTCTGGGGGCCTGGGCTGCGGCCTGGGCGCCTTCTTGCCACCACTTCCGTCCCAAAACGACCTCCCTTTCACGTGCTCGGCTTCCGAGCGCCACTAGCCCTCTCAGACACCTCTCCAGGAGCCTACTGGGCCGGTTTGGGGGGCCTCTCGGGGTTCTTTCTGCGCTGATCTTGACCGCCCTTCGGGCCACCAACGGCCGTCCCCGATGCCTCTCCACCTCTCTTCGAGTCTCATACACCAGAAACCCCAACCAGCCAAAAACATTAGCCTGGCGAAGGACCCAACCAATCGCAGATGCGAGTACCGCAATTGTGGATATCGTCTTCGGTGGCGCTCCTTCTGGGGCCACGAACCGTGTGGGGGGCGTGCCGACAAAAGGGTGGCGGGGACGCATGAGGTCGTCGCCACTGGGGCACTCGGTGGAGCTCCTCGTGGGGTCACGAACCGTGAGCGGTGTGCTGAAATCAGTGGCGGGGACGCATGGGAACGTCGCCACTGGGGTCTTCGGTGGAGCCCCCTATGGGGCCACGAAACGTGAGGGGTGCGCCGACATGGGTGGCGGAGACGCATGGTAACGTCGCCACTGGAACCTTCGGCGGAGCTCCCTCGAACCGTGTGAGGGGTGTGCCGATATGGGTGGCGGGGACGCATGGGAACGTCGCCACTGTGACATTCGGTTGGCCTCTTTCTTATAAAAAGATCAGGAACAGTACATCTATAATGAATTATACTTAAAGAACAACAAGCGAAAACCAAACAAAAGAAAAAGGCTTACGAAGGACCCAACCAGATGCAGCCGCGAGTACCGAGAGGGCGATGAGACGAAGGAGGCGGGCGCGCAAACTCCGACTAGCTCGCGTAGGCAGCGCGCCGCAGCAAGAACGAAGCGCGGGGCAGTGCGGGCAGGGGGCCCTCGGTGGAGCTCCCTATGGGGCCACGAACAGTGTCAGGGGTGTGCCGAAATGCGTGGCGGGGACGCATGTAAACTGTGCCACGAGGGCCTTCGGTAGAGCTCCGTATGTGGCCTCGAACCGTGTGAGGGGTGTGCCGACATGTGCGGCGGGGACGCATGTAAACTGTGCCACTGGGGCCTTCGGTGGAGCTTCCCATGGGGCCACGAACCGTATCAGAAATGGGGCTTTAAACTGTGCCACCGGGGCCTTAGGTGAGCCCCATATGGGGCCACGATCCGTGTGAATGGTGTGCCAGCATGTGTGGCGGGGACGCATGTAAACTGTGCCACTGGGGCCTTCACTGGAGCTCCAAATGGGGCCACGAACCGTGTCAGAAATGTGCCTTTAAACTGTGCCACCGGGGGCTTAGGTGAGCTCCGGGCCCACGAACCGTGTGAGGGGTGTGCCAGAAAGTGTGGCGGGGACGCATGTAAACTGTACCACTGGGGCCTTCGGTGGAGCTTCCTATGGGGCCAGAAATCGTCTGAGAGGTGTGCAAAAATTTGTGGCGGGGACGCATGGGAACGTCGCCACTGGAGCCTTAGATGGAGCTCCCTATGGGGCCACGAATGATGTGAGGGGTGTTCCCACATGGGTGGCGGGGACGCATGGGAACGTCGCCACTGGGGCCTTCGGTGGACCTCCATATGGGGCCACAAACCTTGCGAGGGGTGTGCCGTAATGGGCGGCGGGGACGCATGGGAACGTCGTCACTGGAGCCTTCGGTGGAGCTCCGCATGTGCCCACGAACCGTGTGAGGGGTGCGCCGGCATGTGTGGCGGGGACGCATGTAAACTGTGCCACTGGGGCCTTCGGTGGAGCTTCCCGTGGGGCCACGAACCGTGTCAGAAATGTGCCTGTAAACTGTGCCACCGGGGCCTTCGGTGGGGCTCCCTATGGAGCCACGAACCGTGTGAGAAGTGTGCCGAAATGGGTGGCGGGGACGCATGTAAACTGTGCCACTGGGGCCTTCACTGGAGCTCCAAATGGGGCCACGAACCGTGTGAGGGATGTGCCGAAATGGATGGCATGGACGCATGGGATGATGAGGGTGATGATGATAGTGGTGATGAGGTGATGAGGATGATGCTGATGCTGATGCTGCTGCTGATGATGATGATGATGCAGCTGCTGATGCTGCTGCTGCTGCTGCTGCTGCTGCTGATGATGATGATGATGATGATGATGATGATGATGATGATGATGATGATGATGATGATGATGATGATGATGATGATGATGATATTGATGACGATGCTGATGATGGTGATGACGGTGATGGTGATGGTGATGCTGATGGTGATGATGATGACGAGGAGGAGGAGGAGGAGGAGGAGGAAGAGGAGGATAGAGGATGGAGGGAGGAGCGGGAGGAGGCGGAGGAGGAACAGGAGGAGGAGAGGAAGGAAGGAAGGAAGGAACGCGGGGCGCTGTCTCTTCAAAACGAGGACCCAACACCACAGGATGGTTGGGAAAAACATGAACTGTCGGAGGCCCGCGCGGATTTCTCGGATCGGCGGTGAACCCCCACTCCCTGGAGCGCTGAGCACGCCAGGGGCGGCGCCGTGGGCGTCGCCGCCAGCGGGGCCCAGCGCCAATCCAAGGCATCCGCGCGGACCTCCAAGAGCTTATCTATGCTCATGCAGCTTTTCCCCCTTCGGGTCCTTATACGCCGGAGACGAGCACAAGACAGAGGGGGCCGGGGGCCGGCCGCGGCCCCCCAGCGAGCGAGGGCGCGGCCCGTGGTGGGGTGGGGGGGGGACCCGCGCCTGAACTACAGGTCCGCTGGTGGATCTCACAGGCGTCAGCTGCCACCCACCGCTCCTGCGGTCAGGAACTTTTGCTGGGCGTGTCGCGGCGGCGGCTCTGGCAGCACGCTGTGCCCTGCAAGCGGATGGCGTGCCGCTGCGCTCCGCGGGGCGGGGGTCCGCGGGGCGGGGGGGGGGCGGGAAAAGCGTGGGGCGCTGACGCGTGGAAACGGGAACGCAGTTAGCGTGACGCGCCGAGACATGGTGGGCGAGAAACAAGCGTTCCTGGCCGCATCCCCCCGCTCTCCCACTCGCTCCCCTGCCCTATTGCAGAGATCAGCTCCACGAGGCGCCTCCCCGGCGGCCTTGCCCCGGTGACGTGAGACGCGCGCCACGACCACGACGATGAAAACGACGACAACGGCCACGACGACGACCATCTTCACCACCACCACCACCCGACGACGACGACGACGAAGATGGTGCTGACGACGACGATAACCATGACGACGACGACGACGACGACGACGACGACGGCGGCGACGACGACGGCGACGACGACGACGACGCCGGCGGCGGCGGCGGCGGCAACGGCGACGGCGACAACTGCGACGACGGCAACGGCGACGGCGACTGCGACGGCGACCGACGGCGACGGCGACTGCGACGGCGACGACCACCACTATACGACGACGACGACGACGACGACGACGACGACGACGACGACGACGACGACGACGACGACGATGCTAACGAGGACGCCGCGGAGGCAGAGCCTGGGCGCCCTCGCCCAG